ATAGAGAAGAGTAGAGGCTTTACAGCCAAGCTGTATTTTAAACAAATTTGTTTAAAGGCTTTACAGCCAAGCTGTATTTTAAACCAATTTTAAACAAATGGTACATATACCCACCTTGCCAGAAATGGCCAATGAAATATGTGGGACATCCTTGTGCAAGGAAAAATATGTAGAAGGCATAAGGCTGGCTTGCTCTATTTCTCGAGACAACGAACCAGTTCATTGAACTTCATCCGGTTGCCTGAGAGAGCATCTGGATCCAGTTCCTGGAAGGCCCCCTCCTCACCTCTGAGCGGGCGTGCCAAGCCGCAGAGCTGGAAATCCAACAGAGCGCCCCCCCCCCCCAACCAGCCTTCCGATTTTGACTCCCACACGAGCCTTAAAGCAAATTAACGTGCTTGCACAATAACATGTACACTTGTAGATCTGTTTCCCACCCGGTGCACTGTCTCCGCGCCTAGGCAGAGGAACAGTGACTCATTGGCAAGTTGTCCTCATCCAGGCTTCCTACAGGCACTGCTGACCTGGCTGTGGTGGAGACCGGGCCGAGAGAGAGGGAGAGCGAAGGGCGGTTGCCTCCCACTGACTCATAGTTCTGGGGCAGCTGCAACTGAGTCATCGTTCTGCTGTCTCGGTTGGGACTCACTGTGGGGATGGGGGTGGCAATTCCTTTGCACACACAGTTTATGGGCCTTGCAAGAAACAATGTCCCCTGGCATCTTGAACTCTTTCAAGAGGGCAAGGGAGGCCAAAGAAATTTCTAGCCAGGGAATCAGGGAGATCTGGCAAACTAGGAAGGGCCATGAGCTAGCAAGAAGGGAATATCAAGCAGAATCAAGCAGAAAACCATACTCTGCAAGGAATTAAAACCAAAATAAAAGATTGAAACCTAAAATGATATAAAACCACGACGTTATTCCCTTCTTCCAACAGCAGAGAATCTCTGCAGCTCAGGCTTGAACTGTGGAGCCCTTGGTGCTTTCTGAGCTGGGTGGTTTTCCTGCAGACATTTCATGACCCAACTAGGTAACATCTTCAGTGCAAGTGTGGGGTTTGCTCCTTGTTCATATACAGTTGCTTGCCCTGCCAGTGTTGGGGGTGTGTGGTTTTCTCCCTTGGCAGTTCCTTGATTAGGGTATGGTTTCCTGCTTGATTCTGCCTGATATTCCCTTCTTGCTAGCTCATGGCCCTTCCTAGCTTGCCAGATCTCCCTGATTCCCTGGCTAGAAATTTCTCTGGCCTCCCTTACCCTCTTGAAAGAGTTCAAGATGCCAGTCTATGTGATGTTTCCTTGGTTTATTTGCTGGTAGGCCCTCTTTAAAACTTCATGGCCCTGATACTCACCCTTTCCCTGTTTTCCTTCCAGCCCACCAGCTGGTAACATGACGTTCCTCTCCCTGGTGCCCTGTCTTGTAAGCGCCATCACCTCTGGCCAAGTTGATCCCCCCACTGAAGATGGTGACAATTGTTATCCACCAGCTCTGGAAGACACCTGGTTGGGAACAGCG